TTTTTCGAGAGTTTTGAACATAAAGGGATGCTGTACTTTGTCGAATGCTTTTTTCCGCATCTATCGAGATTTTTTAAAAAAATATTTTTTAGTTGTAGATGGACACAATACTTTTATTTTATTTGTTTATTTTTATGTTGTGCTGGGGATTGAACCCAGTGCTTCATGCATGCTAGGCTCTACCATTGAGCCACAACCCAGTCCCTTTGAACAGCTAATTTTATAATTAAATATAGCAATGAAAGAAAGTCAAGGGGCTGGGGTTATGGCTCAGAGGTAGAGCACTTGCCTTGCACATGCAAGGCCCTGGGTTTGATCCTCAGCACCACATATAAACAAATAAAATAAAGTTATAAAAAAAAATTAAAAAAAAAAAGAAAGTCAAGTAACAGAAAAGCCATGCAAGAAAATAGAGGAGATCTGAAATCTCACTATTCAAAAAGAAYATATAGATGTTTTGGGGACTCTCCTTTTAAATCTGTCTATTTTTAGATAATACTGGTGACTTGCTAGCAATGTCTGTATTTAAAATGCTTTGCTTCATTGGTCTTTTAAAAAAGTTTTGTATTATCTCCCCTTTCCCTTTTCTTTTAAACATTGCCTCCATTCCCCATGACTTCAGTGTTATTAGTAGCTTAATGTGGTATATCCTTTCCCATTTTATTCCCTATTCAAGTTAGAATCTTCTTTTACTCACCTTTCTCCTTTCTTTTCCTTCTCTTTCTCTGTTTCCCCCTTTCCTCCTTTCTTTTTCCTCTCTTCCTCCCTTTCTGCCTGTTTTTCCTTCCTGGATTTTTCTTTTTGACTTTTTTCCTTCTCTCCTTTTCTCCTGCTTTCCTTCCTTTTCTGGTTGTCAGTCTTACTATATTGCTAGGCAGACCTAGAACTCGTGGGCTCAAGCAGTCCTCCTGCTTCCATCCCTGGAATAGCTGGGACTACAGGCCCCACTACCATACCTGGATCATCCCATTTTCTAATAACTATTTAAAGACTTCCACTCTGCTAGAGCAAGTCCCCTAACTCTCCCCTCTTGATTTCCCCCTTCTTTTATCCATTCTCCTTTTACAAATCATTCTAATCTTTGCTCTTTATTGTTTCAGTATAGTTTTTCCCTTTTGAAGTGATTTAGAGGTGGCTGTAACTACTCAGCAAGAGCCCAAACTTGACACAGTGTCAGATAGGCCTACATCCAATTTGGCCCATCGTAAGGATCTACTCCAACATTCTTCCTTATTTTCATTTTAGTTATTACAAAAACAGTAACTAAAGTGTTATACATTTTCCTTCTTTCTTGTTACTTTGCATTTTTTTATACATCCATCAAGCCAACTTCCCAGGAGTTGAGCCATTATTTCTAAATTTTGTTGGTAATTTTTAATTCCAATAATGATAATAGCACAGCTGCAATTCCATATCATGGCTGACCCTATGCCAGTATGGGATTCAAAGGTTCACTAACTCCCACCCTCCTATTCCTTATTTTATTTTAATTTTTTTAATGTTTCTTTCCTAGTTGTCAATGAACCTTTATTTTATTTATTTATATGTGGTGCTGAGAATCGAACCCAGTACCTCACACATGCTAGGCAAGTGTTCTACCACTGAGCTACAGCCCTAGCCCTCATCCTTTATTTTATTAAACAGCATATTTCAGTGAGTCAGGATCTGACTTCTGACTCCAACTACCCATAGTTAGCTGAACTACAAAGTCCATTGGGACAGTCCCCATAAGACAGCTTTCCCTTCTGACCTCAATTGCAAGCCTGGCGGTTCCCAAAACCGGTTTTAGCTTTGATCATTTGCTAGGACTCACAAAACTTAGTGAAAGCTGGTAATGCTCATAGCTACCTATGATTTATTACACAGGAAAGGTACAAATACAAGAGAAGAAACACATGGGGCAGAGTTCAGGAAGAGCCTAAACAGAAACTTGTCATAATTGTGTCCTCATAGAGTGATGGATGACATTACTTATTCCCAGCTGTAGTATGTAACAGTACATATAGAATATTGCCATCCAGGGTACTCACCTGAACCTTTGGTGTCCAGAGTTTTTAGTGAGATTTATTCAGGTAGTGTCCTCCTGAAAGCTGGGCTAATACCTTTAGTCTCCAGTTCTCCAGAGGTTGGAACAGATGTGGTGGAGCCAAAGCCTCTATCATAAATCACACTATTGAACTGTCTTTATCCAGATCTCCCAAACAAAAACATTCCCATCAGGCCCGATATTTCAGTGCTACAGAGATTACTTCATAGTAGTCAAGGGGAATGGTCAGACCACTGTTGGTTATATAAGGTTAATTTTTCATGACACACTGGCACATAATTCAATATGTAATTAGTGTGCTTCAAATCACTGAGTTAAAGGGTATGTATATTTTTAACTTGGAATGTGTTTTCTGTATTGCATTCTCTTAAAGAACCTGAAACAAATTGTGTATATAATAGTAATAGGAGAGAAGCTTTTCTCTCTGCCCTTCTACATCTCCCTATTACATTAATTTTTGAAGGTATAGTGGATAAGAGTTAATATTTAGTGTGATTTTTATTTGCACTTATATTTGAGCTTTTTAAAATATTTTATATATTAACAGTCATTTAGTTTTGTGAATTAGCCTATTATTGCTGGCTTATTTTTTGTTGGTTTACTGATCATTGTTTTAGTCCATTTTAATAAAATGCCACAGACTGGGTAATTTATAATGAAGAGAAATTCCTTGACTCACTGATCTGGAGGCTGAGAAGTCCCAAGATCAAGGTTGCCAGCATCTGGTGAGGGCCTTCTTACTGTGTCATCATATGGTGAAGACATAAAGGAAGAGGGAGAGCCCACTTGCAAAAGCATTTCTTATAACAGGATCAGTCCATTAACCAGGGTATAACCCTCACAATCTAAACATCTCCCATTAAACCCCATCTCAAATACTGTTGCTCTGAGAATGAAATGAAATTCTCACAAGTTTTAGAGGGGACAGACATTTCAAATCATAGCAGTCATTTATGTATTGATTTGTAGTAATTCCTAATATGTTTTAAGAGCCAATATTTTCTTTGTTGTACTGAAGATATTCATTACCTTTTAATTTTTCTGTGCTGTTTTTGTCATATAAAAATGCAGAAATAGGAAGCCACATTTGTCATTTTTTCCTTTATGGATTTTACATTTTGTATCTTGTTTAAGAAATTCTTTCCTAACCTAAGGTGAGGTCAGAAGGTTATTTTAAATTCACCATCAAAGTTTTCATTCACCAAGAATTGTTTGTGTTCTCTTTTTTTTTTTTATAATATTTATTTTTTAGTTTTTGGCGGACACAACATCTTTATTTGTATGTGGTGCTGAGGATCGAACCCAGGCCTTGCGCATGCCAGGCGAGCACACTACAGCTTGAGCCACATCCCCAGCCCATGTTTGTGTTCTCTTTTTCCATTATTTTGCTTCTTCATCAGTATCCTGGTTTAATTACATAACTTCCTGGAATACCTAAACCTCTATCCCTAATCTTTTTTAAAAATGTTAATTTAAAAAATTAATATGCTTGTTTAATTCAAGGAAAACTTTACAAAGATTTTGATTAGAATTTAATTGAATTAATGAGGGGAAATTATATCTTTTTTATAATTCCATCTTTGGATATGTTATTTCCATTCTTTTAGTGCTTCATTTATGTTTTTTAAATGAATGAAAGCTTCAAAAATATTACATATGGTTTTTCCAAATATGTAGGAATGCTGTTGACTCCCCCTCCCCCCATCCCCACTCCACTTGCTCCCTGTACTGGGAATTGAAAACAGGGGTGCCCTATTATTAAGCTACATCCTCAGCCTTTTTAAATTTTGAGACAGGATCTCGTTAAACTACCAAGCTTGGCCTTGACTTGGAATCCCCTTTCCTCATCCTCCTGAGTAGCTGGGATTTCAGGCAGGTGCCACTGCACCCAGCTAAATGCTATTGATACATTATCTTGTTACTTCTGACAATTTCTAGATTTTACCTCAGATGGGTTTTTGTCTAAAGTAATCATAATGTTTATTCCTTAACAAATCATCTTCCTACCTTTTTCTGATTCTTATTATATTGGTTAGGTCTTCCTATGTAACATTGAATAGAGGTAGTGAGAGTGAGTCTCCTTATTCTGATTTTAGATGCAGTCAGGTATTATCATTAACTATGATATTTACCATGACATTTGTTAACCTTTAACAAGTGACAGACATTCTGAATTTCTAGCTTATTAAAGAGTTTTCATGATGAAAGGAAGATTTAAAAACAAAGCAGAATGAAAATATTAGGGTAACAATAAAATTGAAAGTACATAATGAGGTCAAAGCTAAAGCTGAGGCAGCTACTTTACTGAGTCACTTAAAGAGGTGTGAGGGAGCAGCATCGGAGGTGTACCAAACCAAACCTTCATCTTATGAGCTTCCCACTTGGAAACAAGTTTTATATTACCTGCAAAACACAAGATTAGGCTTTCCTTAATTCTCAGTTTGAAGGCTGAGATTGTAAATTAAATGAAAATTTACTTTGTATGATATGTAGCCTTACAGAGTGCTTTGCTAAAAGTTTCAGGTATTAGGCTGGTGTTCTGGCTCAGCGGTAGAGCACTTCCCTGCATGTGTGAAGCACTGGTTTGATTCTCAGCACCACATATAAATAAATGAATAAAACAAAGGTCTATCAACAACTAAAAATGCATATAAAAATAACTTAAAGAGTTAAAAAAGAAGTTTCAGGTATTGTTTTAAGCACAAACCTCTGTGAGTGTTTTAAGTAATACTCTATTATCCCCACGTACAAATGAGGAAACTTAGGAGTAGAAAGAGATTAAGTAACTTGTCTGAAGGTTCCAGGTAGCCTGCACTCATAAGTATGGTACTCTTCTGCTTCTCTTTTGCTAATATAGATATTTAAGAGCTTTCTGAAGGGAAAAATTAGTATTCCCTAAACTGATTTTTGTGAATTTTACTGCAATTGCAATTATTTAAGTCCTGTAAAATTCAGATAATAGCTGGGAATGCTGGCACAATCCCACCTACTAGGGAGACTGAGGTAGGAAGAGCACAAGTTCAAGACTAACCTCGGCAACTTAGTGAGGTCCTGTCTCCGAATAAAAAGCTAAAAAGCTCTGGGGATGTAGCTCAGTGGTAAAGTGCCCCTGGGTTTAATTGCCAGTACTGGGGGGTGGGGGTAATCCAGATAGTAGAACAGTTTTTGTAGTTTTCTAATTTTTCTTTCTATTCTGACATTGTTCCATCAGGTTTGCCTTTTCACCATTGTCTGAAGAAGAGGAGGAAGATGAACAAAAGGAACCTATGCTGAAAGAAAGCTTTGGTAGTGATAAAATTTACCTTTTATTTGTGTTTTAAATATTTTTTCATATAGTGTATCATTATTTTATAACAGTTGTGTTCCTGAATTTGGTATGTGGTAAAGTTAGATAAAGAGCAAATAAGAGTATAAGTTTTAAGGGTTTTTTTTGTGTGTGTGTGTGGTGTATGGTGGTGCTGGGGATTGAGCCCAGGACCTTATGCATACTAGGCAAGTGCTCTACCATCTAGCTATTCCCCAGTCAGTATATAAGTTTTAAGATGAAGCCATGATAAATTGATTAAATATTTCCACATTAAATGTCCAGTTTACTTTCTAGAAACAAGCTAGAAATTTAGCTTTGAACTCTCCAGTATAAATGTAAAGATGGAGAGATATCTGTTCTATAATTCACAGAGATAGCTTAAAATAAAGCTCTGAATTCAATTTTATGTTCATTGCTGGTCTATTGACAAAGTTGACATATCTTTGTTTTTTTTTTTTTTTTTCCTTTTCTTGTACAGAGGGAATGAAAATGAGAGGTACCAAACAAGAACCTAATGGAAATAGTAAGGTAAATAAAGCAGTAAGTATCACTTTTTTTCCCCCCCTTTCCTCTTTGATTTTTGCATGGCCTTTTAGCCTTGGGTAAAACCCAGCAGTTATGGTTACATCTTAATGATTTTTGTACCTATCCTATAATTAGGCTTACTTTACAATCTTATTTATCACATTTACATTTCTAAAAACAGGCAGCAAGAGAGACTAGGGTCTAGGTATCTTTAACTAGATGATATGCTACTATATTTTGAAAAAAATACTAGACCAATCTGATTGTTCTGTTTAATGGTTTTCATCAGTGAAGTCATAGTTGCGTTAATAACTGATGTCTTTTTTTGTGGTAAAGACCTAATGTTTTGTTCTAAAAATTGAGTATTCATTTTTTATAGGAGGGCTTTAGAATTTAGTCCAACCTTAAGGGGCAAAGCCTGCATGAAACAAACTATTAGGCCGAGCTAGAGTTGTAGTTCAGTGGTAGAGCACTTGCCTAGCACATGTGAGGCAATGGGTTCTATCTTCAGCACTACATTAATAAATAAATAAATAAATAAATAAAATAGTGTGTCTTTCTGCAACTAAAAATATTATTTAAAAAACACTATTAGGCCACTGAGAAGAGAACATTTAAGGCTGTAGACATTATATTTCTGTTACATGATTTTGAAGACAAAATTATTTTATTCTACCCAGAGCAAGTAGGCAAGAAAAAGAAGAAAAAGGTATCTAAGTTGGAAAGGAAGTTAATTTGTTTCTGTTTACAGGTGACATTATCTTACATATAGAAACTGTTAAAGACTCCACCAAAAAACTATTAAAACTAACAAATTTCAGTAAAGTTGCAGGATTCAAAATCAGCATATCAAAATCAGTTTCATTTCTGTATACTGGCATTGAACTATGTGAGAGATAAATCAAGAAAGAAATACTTTTTTACAATAGCTGCAGAAAAATAAATTACTCAAGAATAAGCTTAACCAAGGAAGTAAAAAAACTGTATACTGAACACCATAAACTATTGATGAAAGAAATTTCAGAAGACACAAATAAATGGAAAGATAATTTGTATTCATTGAATTAGAAGACTTAATATTGTTACAATGCTCATACTACCCAAAGCAGTCAGTGCAGTCCATATCAAAATTCCAATGACATTTTTTATAGAAATAGAAAAAATAATCCTAGAATTTATAAAAGAATCACAAAAGACCCCTAATAACTAGAGTACACTTGAGCAAAAAGAACAAAGCTGGAGACATTATACAGTCTGACTTTAAAATGTACTACACAGATCTGGGAATGTAACTCAGTAGACCTTATGTTTAGCATGTATAGGCCCTGGATTTGAGCCCCAGCTTACCATCCTGCTGCCTGGCTGGGAAGAGGGGAAAAAAGAAAAAAACCTGCTGTGCTGTTTCAAAACAGCATGGGGGGCTGGGTTGTGGCTCAGTGGTAGCCACTGAATGCTTGACTAGCATGTGCAAGGCACTGGGTTCAATTCTCCACACCACATATAAATAAGTAAATAAAATAAAGGTCCATGAACAACTAATAAAAATAAAATAAAAAACAGCATGGTACTGGCATAAAAATAGACACATAGACCAGTGGAACATAATAGAAAGCCTAGAAGTAAATTCATGCCTTATGGTCACTTGGTTCTCTACAAAGATACCACGGACCCCAAATAGGGAAAGGATAGTTTTTTTAAATAAATGGTGTTGGGAAAACTGGAAAGACATATGCAGAAGAATGAAATTTGACCCTTATGTCATACCATATATGAGTCTTCAGAATGGATTAAGGACTTAAACACACACCTGAAACTGTAAAACTACTGGGAGAAAAGTACTCTATAATATTAATCTGGCTAATGATTTTTTTTAATATGACTTGAAAAGTGCAGGTCACAAAAGCAAAAATAAAGAAAGGGAATTATTTTAAACTAAAAATAGTTTCTAAGGTAAATAGCAGGTGAAAAGACACCTTACAGGCTGAGAGTAAATATTTGTGAACCATACATCTGAGGGGGTTAATATGCAGTTTATAGGGTGGGATTGTGGCTCAGTGGTAGAGTGCTTGCCTAGCATGTGTGAGGCCCTGGGTTTGATTCTCAGCACCACATATGAATAAATAAAATAAACATCCATTGCCAACTAAGCAAAGTATTTTTTTAAAAATATGCAATTTATATAAGGAACTCAGACAACTCAGTAGCAAGAAAACAACCCCATAAAAAAACAAGACCAGATTAGACATTTCTCAAAACAATTCAAATACAAATAAGTATGTGAAAAAAAATGCTCATCATCATAATCAAGAATTGAGAATTAAAACCATAATGAACTATCTCCTCACACCCTTTAGAGTGGCTATTGTCAAAAGGACAAAAGATGGGTTGGGGATGGTGGTTGGGAATTTGGCTCAGTGGTCGAATGCCCGTGAGTTCAATCCCCAGTACCAATTTAAAAAAAAAAAAAAAAGGACAAAAGATGAGCATGTGGCTTGTGGAGTAAAGGGAACCCTTGCACACTGTTGGTAAGAATGTAAGTTAGTATCACCGTTATGAAAACCAGTAGAGAAGTTTCTCAAAAATAGAACTATATGATCCAGCTTGGTATGATCCTACTAGGTATATTTTCAAAGGAAATCACTATGTTGAAGAGATACCCGAATTCCCATGTTCATTGCAGCATTCATAATAGCAATTATATAGAATCAACCAAAGTGTTACTGGACTAGTGGATTATGAAAATGTGTATATACATAGTTTAATACTGATTAGTCTTAAAATAAGAAACTTTGTCATTCTCAATAACATTGATGAACCTGGAAGACAATTTGTTAAGTGAAATAAGCCAGGCACAGGAAAACAATACTTCATGATCTCTCTTGTATAAGGAATCCAAAAATGTTAAATTCATAGAAGTAAGGGTAGAGCAATGGTTACCAGGAAAAACAATGGGTAGTGGGGACATTTGGGAGAAATTAGTTGAAGATAATTAAAAATTTTTTTTTAGTAATTTGACTTTCCTATTAGAAGTCTCATTTGTTATATGAATGTACTTCTTAGAATTAAAAAAGACTAAAGATCTTAAAACATATTTTTACTTGATGTATTACGAAGTGTGTTTTAATAACAATTGGTGTTATATTCCCAGCAGGAAGATGATTTGAAGTGGGTAGAAGAGAATGTTCCTTCTTCTGTGACAGATGTGTAAGTGTTTGAATCATTACTATTACTGTAAGGATCCTATTTCAAAGTTAGTACTACTTATTTGTTTTAAATGAAAGAGCTGAGGAGTATAATAATGAGAATTTAAAATGTTGAAGAATGATTTTAGTAGATAAGAAATAATGTACAAAAGAAGTAATTGGGATTAATCATTCAGATGACATTTCAGCTTAGAAAGATTTAGCTATAGATCTTCCCAAAAATCAATGAGTTAGTACTTTTGAAATTTTTGAGTTCCTTTCCAGAGCTGTAATATTAATGAAATATTGATTGTATCATATTGTAGAACATGTTTATTGTTTTCTATACAATTCTAGTAAACTCTGATTCTTGTTTATTTTATTTGCTTTTTTTCTCCCCTTAAAGGGTGTGTTAATAAGATACAAATCTTAGTTAAATCACAAGAAAGCTTAAATTAGGTATATTTTCAAAGGAAATCACTATGTTGAAGAGATACCCACATTCCCATGTTCATACTGGGCATGGTGTGGCCTGAAATCCAAGCAGCTTGGGAGGCAGGAGGATTGCAAGTTCAAAGTCAGCATTAGCAACTTAGCAAGGCCCAAAGCAACTTAGTGAGACCCTGTCTCAAAATAAAATATAAAAAGGGTTGGGGATGTGCCCCAAGGTTTAATACCTGTTAACAACAACAACAAAAAAATCATTATTCCACTTTTTTGAACCATTTACGGCTTTATTTTACATTGTTCAATTTAGTGTTTTTCTCTCTGCAGAGCACTTCCGGCCCTTCTGGATTCAGATGAGGTTAGTAATCATATGTGTATTAAGTCTTTGGATCTTGTGATTTACTAGCAAGTCATGAATCCTTTGTTTAGGGAGATTCTATTTATTTTTACTCAGTGTGGACTAAAGAACTATAATTGGTAGAGCTGAAAGGAATAAGAATGGAAATACAAATACAATAAAGAAGGTTTCATTTCTTTTTTTTTTCACCTTTGTTTATTTTTACGTGGTTCTGAGGATCAAACCCAGTGCTTCACACATGTGAGGCAAACACTCTACCATTGAGCCACAGTCCCATCCCCAAGAAGGTTTCATTTCTTTATGTCTGTCTAGCATGTCCCCTTTTTTTCTTTTCCAGAATAATATGTTCAGACTTGAAGATGTTTTTGCTTAAATTGAGTAAAAAATACTGTCTCTAGGAAATAAAAATTTTATCTGAATGTAGCTAAATTTGGCAAAATAATAAAAAGTTTGAGAAAGGAATACAGTAGACAAAATGTAAATTATTTTGTTATCTCTTATATTTCATGTTCCTATGTCACTACCATTTTAGACGATGAGGATCATAATTAGTGCTGCTAATGTTCATGTTGCTTTTAAGATTTAATATGACTCCATATAGTTCAATTAAGAGGCTTCACGTGAAGTCTTATTTAAGAATTGTGGCCTGTGTTCATAGGAATTAGTTTTAAAACCTATTTTGAATGTTAGATTACTCTACAATGTCTTGATTTCAGAAAGCCTTCTAGAAATATCTTTTCTGATTCTGACTCATTTTATTGAACTGGATACTAAAAATGATTTGTTCATTTTCCACTGACCTGCTGTGTAACACTGCATACAGTGTCAAATTCTTTAGCTATTCTATTAGTTGAAATAATTGAGACCGTTAACATTGAGATTTGAACCTATCCATATAGCACTTTGCTTTCTGTGGTGTATTTTGCAGTTCTGAGGTCTCTATCATGGGGTCTTTCTCTTCTAATTATTTTCTATCAGGGTTTTCCTTTGGTTTTAATTCTCTAGCCATGCTGTATTCCAGCCAGAGGTCTGACTGCATGAAACCTGATTGTGCCATTCATGGAAATAAAGGGTTTACCACCATATTTTTGGTGGCCTGATAACAATCATCTGTTCATGTTTTTTTTTTAATATTTATTTTTTAGTTGTACACAATACCGTTATTTTGTTTATTTTTATGTGGTGCTGAGGATCTAACCCAGGGCCCATGTACTCTACCACTGAGCCACAACCCCAGCCCATGTTTTTTTAATTTAAATTTTTTCATTTGTTGTTTTTAGATACACATGACAGTAGGGCATGTTTTGACATGTTATACATGCATGGAGTGCAGCCCATTACAATTTTGATCCCATTCTTGTGGTTGAACATGATGTGGAGTTAACTGGTCATGTATTCATATGTGAGCATAGAAAAGTTATGTCTGAATTATTCTGCTATCTTTCTCATTCCCATTCCCCTCCCTTCCCTCCCTTGTTATGGATGAGCATCCACATATCAGAGAGAACATTTAGCCTTTGGTTTTTTGGGAATTGGCTTATTTTACTTAGAATGATAGTCTCAAGTTTCATCCATTTACTGGCAAATGCCATAATTTCTTTTTTATGGGTGAGTAATATTCCATTATGTATACATACCACATTTCCTTTATTCATTCATCTATTGAAGGGCACCTGGGTTGGTTCCATAGCTTAGCTATTGTGAATTGAGCTGCTATAAATATTGATGTGACTGCATCACTGTAGTGTGCTGATTTTAAATCCTTTGGGTATAAACTGAGGAGTGGGATAGCTAGGTCAAATGGTGGTTCCATTCCAAGTTTTCTGAGGAATCTCCATACTCCTTTCCAGAATGGTTGCACCAATTTGCAGTCCCACCTGCAATGTATGAGTGAACCTTTTTCCTCATGTTCTTGTCAACATTTACTGTCACTTGTATTCTTGATAATTGCTTTTCTGGCTGGAGTGAGATGGAATCTCGGTTTAGTTTTAATTTGCATTTCTCTAATTGCTAGAGATGTTGAACATTTTTTCGTATATATTTTTGACCATTTGTATTTCTTCTTTTGTGAAGTGCCTTTTCAGTTCCTTTGCTCATTTATTGACTGGGTTATTTGTGGTTTTTTGGTGTTAAGTATTTTGAGTTCTTTTTATATTCTGGAGATGAATGCTATATCTGAGGTATAGGTGTTCATGTTTTCTTTCTTTTTTTTAATATTTATTTTTTAGTTATAGTTGGACACAATACCTTTATTTTTTTATGTGGTGCTGAGGATCAAACCCAGGGCCTCGCGTTTGCTAAGCAAGTGCACTACCACTGAGCCACAACGCCAGCCCTCATGTTTTCTTTTATGAATAAATTATGTGGGACTTTGCAAGTGTATGTGACAGTGAAGCTTTGTGTGTGTGTGTGTGGTAAGAAAATATAACAATAAGATCTACCCTCCTTAAAACATTTTTTAGTCTACATTACAGTATTGCTAAGTATAAGCACATTGTTACACATTAAATTTATAGAAATTCTTGTTTAACTGAAACTTACACCTGTTAAATAGCAGCCTCTCCTTTCGCCTCCTCTAACTCATGGGATCTGTCATTCTACTTTCCATGCATTTGACTATTTTAGATACCTCATACTAAGTGGATTCATGAAGTACTTGTCTTCTATTATGTGCTTATTTCACTTAACATAAGCTCCTGAAAGTTCACCCAGGCAGGATTTCTTTCTCTTTTTAAAACTGAATTAATTGTATTCCATGGGGTGTGTGTGTGTGTGTGTGTGTGTGTGTGTGTGTACGTGTGTACACACATGCGTGCTATATCTGACATTTTTCTTATTAATTCCATTGTGAATAGTGCTGCAGTGAACACGGATATACAGATATCTCTTTGAAATTCTGCTTTTAGATCTTTTCAGAAGTGGGATTCTGGATCATAAAAGTAGTTCTATTTTTAATTTTATGAGGAACCTGCTATTTAGTTACGATACCATTTTACATTCTTACCAACAGAACTCAAGGATCCATTTTCTCCACAGTCTTGCCACTACATGTTATTTTTTTACTTTTTGATAATGGCTACCTTAATAGTTATAAGGTGATAGCTCATTGTGGTTTTGATTTGCATTTCCCTGATGATTTGTGATGCTGATCATGTAACACACACACACACACACACACACACAGGCCTCTATCTGTTGGTCATTTTTCCATTTTTAAACTTAATTGATTTTTTTGCTGTTGAGTTTTAAGAGTTTCTGGTATTAACCCCATATCAGATGCATAATTTGCAACTATATTCCCCTATCCCATATATTGCTTCTCATGCTCTCATTTCCTGTGCAGTGCAGAGGCTTTTCAGTTTGAGTTCTTTGGGTCTATTTTTATTATTCTTGCCTGTGCTTTTGATGTATATCCAAGAAATTGTTGCCAATATTAGTGTCAAGAATCTTATTTTTTTTCTCCTAGGAGTTTTGTAGTTTCAGATATTAGTTTTAAGTCTTTAATCTGTTTTGTACATAAGATTATGTACATAAGATTCAAGCTTATTAAAATCAAACAGATTTTGCATGTGGATATCAAGTTTTTCCAGTACCATTTATTGAAGAACCTATCCTTTCCTCATTGGATAGACTTTATAGCCTTTTCAGAGATCATATACTGTGTGTATGTAGGTTTTATTTCCGGGCATTCTATTTTGTTTCATTGGTCTGTGTCAGTCTTGATGCCAGTACCATGTTGTTTTAATTAAGTATTTTTTTTTTGTTACTATTGTAAATGAGTTTGTGTTCTTAATATCTTTTTTGGATAGTTCTTTGTTAGTAAGTGATTGGGTTGGGTAGTTGGGTAGCTCAGTGATAGAGTGCTTGCCTAGCATATGCGCAAGGCAATCCTCAGCACTGTTTAAAAAAAAAAAAACGGAGAGGGGCTGGGGTTGTGGTTCAGTGGGAGAGTGCTTGCCTAGCTTGTGTGAGGCACTGGGTTCAATCCTCAGTACCACATGTAAATAAATTAATAAATGTCCATTGACAACTAAAAAGTGACATTAATTGTCATATTTTGGTTTTGTATCATGCAATATTAATGAACTCATTTATTCTAACAGGTTTGTTTTACTTTTTTTTTTGGTTTAATTATTCTCGATAGGACTTCTGTACTGTGTTGATTGATTAGAAATGGTGAGATTGGCATTCTTGTATTCTTTATGATCATAGCAAAGCTTTTAGTTTTTCATTGTTGTATATGAAGTTAGTTTTATTCACTTATGTGCTTTATTATGTTGAGACAATTTCTTAGTATTCCTAGTTTGTTGAATTTATGTCATGAAAGGGTAGTCAATTTTGTCAAATGTTTTTCTGTATCACAGTTGATCTGATCATGTGGTTTTTGTTCTTCATTATGTTAATGTATTGTATCACATTGATTTTTGTATGTTGAACCTTCCTTGCATCTCAGGAATAAATCTCTCTTGATCATGGTGTGTGATCCTTTTAATGTACTTTCAAATTCAGTTTTGTTATGTTGAAGATTTTTGCATGGGTATTCATCAGGTTTATTAGTTTTCTTGAAGTGTCTTTGGGTTTGGATATCAGGTTAATGCTGACCTCATAGAGTCCATTTGGAAGTTCCTTTGAAATGAGTTTGTCTTCACTTTTTTGGGAAGAGTTTATATTTGTCTTTAACTATGTTTAGTTGAATTCACTAATAAAGCCATCTGTTCCTGGGCTTTTTTTTTTTTTTTTTTTAAGGTTTTGAGTTAAGTCTAGTTGTAAGTCTTATTTTCTATTTCTTCATTCAGTCTTGGCGGGTTGTGTGTTTCTAGGGGTTTATTCACTTCTTCTAGGTTACAGTTTGTTGGCATATTTTAAAATTTTCTATCTTGTTGAAATTCTTACTTTATTCATGCATTATTATCTTGATCTAGTTATTTAGAATTCTCTTAGGGGGCTGGAGATGTGGCTCAGCGGTAGCGCGCTCGCCTGGCATGCGTGCGGCCCGGGTTCGATCCTCAGCACCACATACCAACAAAGATGTTGTGTCCGCCGAGAACTAAAAAATAAATATTAAAAAAAAAAAAAAAAAGAATTCTCTTAGGTAATTCATGAACCTCTTTTTAATTGTTAGGGTCAGTTTCTGCAGATTTTTCTCGCTCCTTTGTTTGGTCCCTGTTTTCTTGTTTCTCCATTTTGCTTAATTTTCTGTATTGGTGTCTGTTCCTTAAAAAAGAAAGAAAGTAAATCATCACTTTCAGTGTGACATGCCTTGTACAGAAGATTCTCATAAGTCAGATTGGCCAGAGACTCTGGAAAATTCCATCCTACTCTGCATATGTATCTTCTCTGTACATATGAGTTCACAGTTAGAGGGATCTGCTGTCTTTCCCCAGGAATTTATAATCTCTTGTTCCCCTGTTGTCTGCTGCACTGTGGGTCTTGGAGCAGCAGTGAGCCTCAAGCTGTTTATTTTTTTGTTCACACTGGGCTCCAGGCACCTAAAGTATAGGAGTTCCACTTTTGTTCTCAGACTGAAGCCAGTCCTTCAGGCAACTTCCTGAAGCCTTGGAATGTTAATCACAGTCCAAGTCTTTCTTCCCCAGGGAGAGGCTGGGATTTAGGGGTTTTGACTCACACTACACTGAACTTGAGAGGTTCAGGCAGTTGTGCTGGCAAGTATGTTATTGCTAATCCAAACCAAACCTTGGTTATCCATGACTTTTAACCTGGGAGCCCTTTGTTTTTAAGACAAAAGTCAAGACAAAAACCAGCTTCGTTCTGGCAGCTTCTAGAAAGGTGAAGATGTTGGATATAGGTTTTAATCCTTCCCTTCCCTTCCTTCCCCAGGGAGAAGCTAGGAGATAAAGGTTTCCTACAGTTCATGTGGCATTGTGCAGGGTTGAAGGAGTACATTATGGCAAAAGGGGGACCTCAGATTTTCTTCTTGGCTTTGATACAGTTGATTTAGTTTTACTCCGTGGTACAAGAGCCCCTAGACTGTTTCCTGAATTTTTCACCAGGAATTGTTCTGTGTATTGTTGAATCAGGGCATTTGTGGAGGTAAGAGTATCCAGCACTTTTTGTTTTGCCAGTATGCTGATGTCACTTTCCCCAAGGCCTTTCTTTTTATAAAACTTGAAAGAATTTAAATGAATTACAGAAGAAACAAATTACATAACAATAACTTCTAATAAAAGCTAGAAGATGTTAGAACAATGCCTTTGAATTCTGAGAAAAATTGTGGTTTTAAAATTTTTTTTCAGTTGTAGATGGACACAATACCTTTATTTTACTTATTTATTTTTATGTGGTACTGAGGATTGAACCAAATGCCTCATGTGTTCTGTGCTTTACCACTGAGCTACAACACCAGCCCAAGAAAAATAGTTTTTAACCTATAATTCTATACCTAAATAAACCATCAATATTAGTTTAAAGTAAAGATATTTCAAGTCACATAAGAATTAATTTCCTATGTGTGCTTCTTAGGAACATACTGGAAAATGTTCTCCATGAAAATAAGAAAACTAACAGAAAGATTTGGGATCCAGGAAATAAAGGATCCAACACAAGAGAGGCAAGGCAAATTCTTAGGATGACAATGTGAAATATTCTTACAGAGACAACTGGGCAGCAGACTTGGAGAGCTGCTAGAATGAAAAAGAAAAACAGAATTTTTAGGAAAAGTATTTCTAATAAAAACAGAAGAATAGATTATCTCATTCGATTAATTGTATTCAAAAAGGATTTACAATCCTGTCAGTTTGGGATATGTTTGTGATGGGTACTTAACAATTGAAGCAAAGGAAAAATGAAAAAAACATAAAAATTTGTATGACAAATGGAAATTTAATGATAATTTTTTAACTTGTAATATGATAGTATAATTACTATTTTATATAAACAACATAAGATCTACTCTCTTAGCTATTCTTAAGTAGAGGGTTAAATATATGCACATGGTTGTGCAGCAGGTTTCTAGAGCTTTCTCATCCAGTGTAATTTTAAAAAGTCTGTAATATTTTATTGTAAAGATAGTTTTTTTAAATAACTCTTAATTTTTGGACTCTTGATTCTTTCTAATATTTTGTTGTAATGCTGAGTATTGTACTAAATTTTTGTCCACTTCTAGATTGGTTCTTCAAGTTAAATTCCTGAATTAATTGAGATACAAATCCTTATTAATCCTTAATAATATTTGTTCAGTCATTTAATTGACCCTGAATACACATTGTGGTTTGTTGTCCCAAAACTAGCCATTTTGATTCAGTTGATTTTGGGTGGGGCCTGGACATTTGTATGTTTCAAAATCTTCACAGATATTTAGGAACTTTTGCTCTAAGTAATTAAGATAAGTATTGTGGAAAATGTATATTTGGATAGTTTACATAAGATATTTGGAATGTATACCATTTTGAATTAATATACTTAGAATAAACCTTTTTTTAACTCCCTAGGAACGAATGATTACACACTTTGAAAGGTCCAAAATGGAGTAAAGGATGGGAAGATCTGAAGTTGAAGATGGCTAGTATCAGGGAAGAGATCAGCTTCTTTGTCAGTCTTCTCCATTGTTCCATGGGATTAAAGGAGGCAGTGACATCCTGATCTGTTCCTTGGTCTGTGTGCATTGGAGCTGGCAAGAGGTGTCAGAACAAGGAGAATATCTTATTGAAAATACGTTCATAGGATGAGAAAAATCTACAAGCTTATTTACAACATTGATGCCCTTTCCCTCCCAAATCCTGACGTGGATGTTTATGCAACTTATGTGTTGTTCCTGAACTTTATATGTTTCAGTTGTTTAATATGTCAAACTAAAAGGTTTAATGTCTTCTAAAGGACTTTGCCATCAACACCATAATATGTAATCTCCAGGAGCAACTGCCTGTAAATTTTATTTATTTAGGGAGTTGCATAGGTCATAGAGGAGATTGTTAATTGTCTTTCAGTTTTCTGGGAAGTTTAGGTCACATCTTGCAGAGGTAGTTTTGAATAAAAAGAGCCCTTCTGAGTAAAGGAGCTATGGTTCTATCAATGATCAAAAGGGGAAAAAAGGAGAAAAAGAGAGAAACAGTTACAGTGAGATTCAGATCATTTACAAAAAAGGAAAATCAAGTGCAATTTTGTTTACAAATGGTGTATATTAAAGATTTTTCTATTTCAGATGTACTTTAAAGAGAAATATTAGCATAACTCTTTTGACATCTGCTATTGTGACACATCCCATTGCTGGCAATGTGGTGCACACTCCAAGACTTTTAACTACTGTTTTGTAAGCCTCCAAGGGCAGCATTGTGGAGTCCTAGGCAATGCTTTGTTTGCCTTCATGCCATTCTTTGGGGTTGCACTAGATGCCCAGAGGTACTGCATCTAAGTGCTATGATTGAACACCCTGCTAGAGGGACTATAATGCCTCAGGGGAGCTTATAGAAAGGAAACAGATACTGCTGGCTTAAACAGTTATTCTTGCATGAAATAGTGGGGAGGCCCTGGACTGCTGCTTGCTCTTAGGATTGACTGTTCTAGTGTCTGGTGTTAATTTGAAGACTGTTTATAAGGGATATTACAAGGTGATGGGATTCACTTGAAGCACTATATTTCTGTTTTAATGGTTTTTCCAATTTTGCCTTCCCAAGATTTTTGTTCTGCATAAGAAGTCATGCCACTTTTTAATATAAAAAATTTTAACAAAATTAATGTATTTTTTCTCATTTATTTCAGTTTTTCTCTGAACACCCTTCTTCTAAACTTCCTCTTGTGGAAATTTTCTTTTCATTGCTTTTACTCTAGATTGTTTTATTTTTTATAAAAACCACTGACTACATGACCACAGTTTTCACTAACTCATACTATATAGTCAGAGTGTTTATATTTATGTAGTATTTCTCTCGCTTTTTAACAATTTTTTATTTACTTAACAATGTAGGAACTTTGCAGCCATCAGTAGTTCTGGTGCAATTGGAAATTTGGGAAACTTGGTGGAGCTGTTAATGCAGTGAATCTTGTAGGTAAAATATATGCATACTTTTTTTCTTAATATTTTTTAGTTGTAGATGGACACAGTACCTTTATTTTATTTATGTATTTTTTAACGTGGTGCTGAGAATTGAACTCAGTGCTTCACATGTGCCAGGCAAGCACTCTACGAGCCACAACCCCAGCCCATGTGCATACTTTTGATAGCACGTATGCCTCCATATGTGCTATCAAAAGTATCAAAAGGCATATGTGCTCTTAAAAGTTGACTTTATTGGTTTTATTTTCAGCAAACTGATGTTAGGCCATTCAACATGAATTTTATTGTCCTGATATTAGTTCATGTTCTCTTTTTATAACAAATTAATGATCAACAGAAGATACCAATTTAATATAAAAAGTATCAGGGCCTTCACAGCCACCATAGGCTTTCTACTTTCCATTATGTTATATTCTTGCAAAAGTCTGCTTTGGTTCCACAGGAGCTTTAGTTTCCTGGTTAGACAGTGATACAGAATGTGTCATCCATTCTGTCTGGATGAGGCTTATGTAGCATTTCTCTACAACTCTTTGCTGTAGTAATTTTTTAAAAAGCAACCTAAACAAAATCTCTTAAAGAGTGACAGTATGGGGCTGGGGATGTGGCTCAAGCGGTAGCGCGCTCGCCTGGCATGTGTGCGGCCCGGGTTCGATCCAACACCACATACAAACAAAGATGTTGTGTCCGCCGAAAACTAAAAAAATAAATATTAAAATTCTCTCTCTCTCTTTAAAAAAAAAAAAAAAGAGTGACGGTATGGAGAACTGAGATGTACTCTTGTTTATCCATTAGCAAAAGGTTGGTGGTATTGTGCTACATTTGCACACTGTGATGGAATAATAGTTATAATTCAACAAAACAGCTGGTCATATTTTTTCAGGCTGGTTTGATGTTGACTTGAAACTACAAAAAATACCCTATTGGGTTATCCTGTTTTGTGTGGTGCAAATTTTATGTCTTAGGATCTGATAATTCTATTTATGGCTTCCTATGGTACTGGAATTGGATATATTTTATCATTTTTTAGGATAGGCTCAGAAGGAATTTATAGTTTAATATTTCCCTAGTGTAACCTTAGAGTTATATTTATTTTTGTCTTGATCCTTTAGCCTACTAGACCTTTTTCCAAGGTGATGTTCAGCTTTTACAGTGAAACTTGACCATAACACAAGATTTTTAAAGCAACTGTGTTTTAGCTACTTGCAAATATACTTAATTTTATTATCAAACAGCATTTGATAAAGATGGGATATGTATCCCTAAATTACATATTAAGAAATGAATACTATGAAAGTAAAATGACCAGGACCTTTTTTTTTTTTAAATTTCATATCATAAGCTCATCCTTTTTAGATTTTTGCTTTAAACCCAAATGCCTGTTTATGACATAGCTTATGATTTTTAGTGGGAATTGCCAGATATAGATAATTCTTGCAATTCAAATTCAGCCTTTTTATTTTTTTAAGTCTCTACAAGGGGAATGCTAACAGTAACCCAAGCCAGTAAGGACCCATGGGTGAAAAGAGCCACTTCACTTGCTTTTAAAAGGAGTGTTAGGCTCAGCATGGTGGCACACACCTGTAATCCCTGCTACTGGGAAGGCTGAGTCAGGAGGATCATGAGTTCAAAGCCAGCTTTAGCAATTTAGCAAGGCCCTGTCTCTAATAAAATACAAAAAGGGCTGGGGATGTGACTCAGTTGTTAAATGCCCTTGAGTTCAATCCCCCAGTAACACCCTTGCCCCCCCCCAAAAAAAAGGGAGTATTAGGATATGAGACACAGCTTGTTTCTAAACACCTGCTCATAAATGTTCAATTGAGGACCCCAACTCACATTCTATTAAATCACAATCACATTTTATCAGTGTATCCATTTGATTTGTATGCACATTAAAATTGAGAATTATTCGCCTAGAACCAGGGATATTACCAACCAGTGATATCTGGCAAGTGCTGGGGTCCTGCCCTAGTGGCGTCCAGAGAGTCCTGAAGAATGAGTGGTGGCTGCGAAAAGATGAGACAGTCGTGTTGGAGCAATCTCCAGAGAGCGAGCTCTAATGGAGCTTTCTCTGGATCATCTTTTATTACAATTTTTCTCATCATTATAGATTCAAAATACATCATTGATTATACAATTTCAAAACTTTGCCAAGACATAACGTTTTCTTAACCATAATTAGAGTATAGAAAAATGTAATATCAATTTACATTTTTCCAGGATATGACTTTTAGTTATCAATCATTAATAAGATAAGTCACTAATTTACATTTTTTCAGATTTTCCTAAGATGTACTATTTTCTTATTAACTAATGCCAAACTACGTAACCAGACTCTAAGTCTCCTAACCTGTCATTAACCTGTAAGTTTTAAAGTACACCTGCACTTTTATTTCTAATCCAAGATTCCCATCTAAAAAAGTCCCCTTAAGGGGCTGGGGATGTGGCCCAAGCGGAAGCGTGCTCGTCTGGCATGCTTGCTGTCCAGGTTCAATCCTCAGCACCACATACAAACAAAAATGTTGTGTCTGCCGAAAACTAAATAAATAAATAAAAAGTCCCCTTAAATCTTAAAGTATCCTAAAGTTTATTAACCATTCTTAAAACATATTAGAAACCCATACAATAAAAACTTAAGAATTCTAAATCCAAGAATCTAAATAGAATAATACTTATAACATTATTCTAAAAATATATCTTTTAAAGCTACTTTAATTTATTCCTAAATTTATTCTCATAAAACTGATTGAGCTGCTTTCTCAAAGTGTTTCTTTGTTTCTCAGTCAAGATGCACTGGTTCTTATATCTTCATAATCTTTCTCAATAAAAAGTAAGTTCTAAACATCAGTCTACTTTCCGCCAATATTAAGTATGCTCATCATAAATCCCTATGTGAAGTAAAAGAGGGTTTATAGAAATGAAAAGAATGTATCCTTATATGTCTTAACTTTCCTAAGTGTATAACATAACTTGCCTTAATCAAAAATTAAACTACATATGGTGGGTTTTGTACAATGAGCATAATGAATTTTTCTAAAAGGCTGGAAATATGGGCTTGGGTTCTAGTTGATATAATCAATGTGGTGCCTAAAATTCTCGTGACCTTTCAGAGAATGATTGTTGTCCTTTATCAGTTTTGTCTTCAATGTGCTGAGATAGTAGAGCAGCTTTCTACTTTGTCCTTGATATGCTAAGGGGTAGTAGAACAGCCTTCAAGGCAAGAACTACCTGTTATATTCTAGCCATCTGAAATTTAATTTGGTTTGGCATTTAACATACTCATGCCTCCTGTCAGGAACATGAAAATGAAAAGTCCCAATTACATATAAAAGGTCTGATGGTTTTGGTTTCTCACCAACCCAGCATTCATCCTCACTGTGACCTTGATAAGACAGTGGGAAAGTGGCTTTGCCAGCACTTATTTTCACTGTGACCTTGTCAAGACAGTGAGAGATGGATCCCCTTCACCAGGCAAGGAGAATTTTTTGGTTCTTCAATCTCTGGCAGGGTGCTCCTGGCATCTATATCTGATGGATAGAGGATAGGGATGCTGCCAAACATCCCTCAATACACAGAAGAGAGCCCCCACTCCAAGAATTATCTTGCTGTAAATGGCAATAGTGCTGCAGTTGAGAAAACCTACCCTAAAACAGTGGTTCTCAAGCTTCTAAGTGCATGGACTCAGGACTCACCCTGGAAATTCATTAAAACAGACTGCTGTTCCCCTCCAGAATTTGGTTCAGTAGAGTTAGAGTGAGGCGTAAAACAGACATTTCTAACAAGTACACAGGTGATGCTGATGCTGCTGGTCTTTTGAACACAGTAACCACTGATCTACAGTTTTAAAAAGATAAGGTTAAAGTACTTGAATGAGTTGGTATATAATGGTAATATTGAAGCTGTTATTATTTTCAGTATTACCATTAAGAATATGCCAGAGGATGGGGCTGTATCTCGGTAGCAGAGTGCTCGCCTAACGTGTGAGGCACTAGGTTCGATCCTCAGCACATAAAATAAACAAATGTATGCTG